AGGTAGGTAGGTAGGTAGGTATAAACATATATATGTATGTTTGTATGTATGTATGTATGTATGTATGTGTCTACACCTGTATACCTACCTACCTACCTACATATGTATATATATATGCAGCTACATATTTATGTGTAGACTGCGGGCTGCAAATGCTCCTGCATTAACCAATAATAAGGGATATACCATAATTCCCATAGTTTAGGGTCCTTAAGGTAATGCAGGATTTACATCATCAACCGTATTATAGAACCCTGTATTCTAAAACCTGGACGGCACGTTGAGCTTCAGGAAGTTTGCGTCTGTTCATCCTCTGCCTCTCGCTTTCTCTGGACAAACGTGTCTTGCGTATACATATATGTCTACCTGTATATCTGTATATATCTATGCCCTATATGTCTCTATCTATGACTGTCTGTTTGTGCAAAAATGAGTACGCGTGCGTCTACTACCTCTTTCTTTTGCTTCGCAACGTGTTTACGTGATTGCTCTTAGCATAAACTATTTTACTCACATGCTTATTTATGATATACTTATCTGTCAAGACCCTCCATGCATGTACCCTCGAACAGTAGTAATCATATGACCCAAATTAAAGGCATTTAGATGCCAATAGAGTCAATAGAGGGTGGATGGAGGGTCTGGATAATATAGGGGCCTGAATATTTAGCTATGCTGTTTTGAGGTTCCTTATTATGTTTAAAGTATAAGATACCCCGAAACCCAACTCTAATTATTAAGGCCTCAACATTATGCGGCCTTCTCTTATTGCTGCAACGTGGCGAAGCTCATCTTTCCCGATGGATCCGTCGCCGCTCGTGTCGAACTCCAGGAAGGCTTTCTCCAAAGCTTCGAGCGTCTCCTGCTCACTTAGGGTTTAGGGTTACCTGAACCCTAAACCCTAAAGCTTATAGGGTTTAGGGTTTAGTTCTGTGTGGGTTCTGGTGCGGGGTTTATGGGGTTTGGGGTTTTGGGGCTCTGGGTGTTGGGGTTGGGATTCGGGGTTTAAGGGTGCTTTAGTGCTTCAAGACGGGTTTGGAGTCTGGCTTAGGGTATGCAGGCTTTCAGGATTTTGGTTCAGTACTGCTGGGGTTCGGAATGTTTCTGGCTTTAGAGCTTAGAGGTCGGATTCCTGGGGTTTAGGGTTCAGCACTCACACTCGGACATGCCTGGGTGAGGTTACTCGGTTTAGGGCTTGGGGCTCAGGATTTACGGGTTCAGACTTAGGACTAACCTTGGGCTTTGAAGTTTGGAGTTTAGGGTTGGGGGCTTACCTGCTGTTTTCGTGCTCCAAATTACCCACCCAAAGCAACCTTTTCTGTGGTTTTCAGGGCATAAGTTTTTTTTGATTGACTCTCCTTTAGGCAGAGTGCCTCTCAGGCAGAGGTTCGTGCCGGGCGAAGGGGCGGACATCCGGGTTCACAACCATATCACCACCTTCCCCCTTCACCCAGAAGCCATCAGCAACCAGGGCGCCACCCTCACAAGATTCACTCACGGCAGACTAGCCAAGTAGGGCCAGGGCTTCAAATTTAGGGTTTTGGTCTGGCTTACAGCTGAAAAGCCTGCCTGAGAACTAAGCTGCAGCCATGACGCTCTTAGTTTATACTGATCCGAATGCCAGCTCAGGCCTGGCGTTTGAATACGTCTAGCCCCTTTCATCCACCACGCTGTGCCCCGAGACGTGGCCCTAAGCTCTCTTGAAACCACAGCACAGCACAAGGCCTGGTCGAAGTAATCTTTGATGTCTATCTCGCCGATGGTCATGCTGGAGCACCAGTTGGTGAAAGCCCAGTTTTGGGAGCACCGACTAAGGCTCCAAAGCCTGCAACCTGATGTGGATACCTGAGGAAGACTTGTACATGCCACGCAACCATGCAAGCAAGTTTCGTGATGATTGATGTTTGGGAGCTAGCGTTCCATCCGGCAGAAACATTGCACTAGCTCCAGTCAGTAGCACGGCGCTGTAAATCGCAACCTGGCAAAGCTCTACTACCTTGCGTGCTTGATAACTCGGGGCCCTAGAATCTACTTGCTTCCCTCGGGGCGGCGCAGCCTCGGCGAATTCCACCTTGAGCCACGACAGCAGTTGCCGCCGCACCACTGAGTCACTGAACCCTGCTGATAGAACTTCTCTCACCAGCCCCTAAACCCTAAACCCTGGCGATTGAAGTTCTCTCAACAATTCGTGGACCTGCAGCCGAGGGAGGCTTGCAGCTATAGTAGCTTATATATACGGGAGACTGAGTCATCTATAATCGGGTTGGAAGATTGCTGTGGGCCAGGAGCATATGCAATGGCACGAATCCGGTACAAATAACATCGGGAGTTGTAAGTTATAACCACTTAAACTCAGGCGCCAGTGACAGTCCCTCAGTTCCGTCACACCTGTAAGGCTATGCACAACACGGCCCGCAGCCTGTCCGAAGCTCAACTTCATCAAATTCTGCATTGCAACTTGTTGTCCGACTCGAAATTGTGCAATGAGCCTCGAGAGATACAAATGTCAGCAAGTGGACACCCTTTTTCAACCGCCTCTCGCATTCATTCTTAAGTCTCTCGCCGTCTCGCAACGTCCGATCGTGCACGTGCGGCGGCTTGGATAATCACCGTCTGCTTTATGCTGCACTGTGAACCCAGCACAGCAAGACTCTAAAGACCCCCTCCGACTGAATAAAGTGGGAGCGCATGGCTGGTAGAGATCTTGAGCATACCTACTCGTATCTCCCTTCCGCTGATTCTGGTAGACCCGTGAGATTCTACCTGCCCAGTATCCCCCTTAATCCTGAAGCGTGAACCCCTAAACCTCTAAGCCGAAACGCTGCTAAAGGCTAAAGCGGCAGTGGAGCAGTTTCTTGTCCTGGTGCCCATGGGACATTGGGTTTAGGGTTTAGGGTTTAGGGCCCTGAACCCTAAGCCCTAAACGATTGGACCTTCTCTTGCATGGCAAGCCCAGATCTACCAGCGAAACCCTAAACCCTCGGCTCCACTGGTGTAATTAGAGAGCGGGCTGTCACGGGGCCTGGGTTCTTGCATTTTGCAATTTCATAACACTATGCTACGCACCTATGCATATACATATATATATGTATATACATATATAATATATATATATATGCATGATCATGGTACGCATACTTACTAATTAATTGTGGTGCACTGTACAAAGCACACACCCGGTCGGCCACTTTCGAGCGAAATGAAACAACACAAAGTGTTTCATGCATCGTTCACGCTTATGTTCTTCAACTTGGACTCCCCGAAATCTCTGGCGAAGTTCTGCCTACCGTGGTCTGATTTCCTGATGTTTTGAGTTGGCGCGTGTCTGTGGGTTTCCACTTGACTCTCAACTTGTAGCATTGCAGAACTACCTACCTATGCGGGGCTTCACAATGTACACAACCATACGAACAATCGCGGGACTTTAATTCCTGCAAACCGGGAACATGTACATACGTGTGGCTTGTGTTGTGTCAGGGGTGTAGATTGTCTGTATGTACACAAATCAGTGAGTAGTGTGATCGCATTTCACTTTAGTTTCTGTTGCAATTACTTATTTGGAACCTGGGAAGGGTTTCACGCAATACATAACTACATCTTCAATGTCACTACTGTAGATGTAAGCGCGGGTGTGTGCGTGTGTGTACCTGTGTGCGTGCATATAATCTACCCATACACACAAACGTACATACTCACATATATTGCTACATGCTACATACAGATATTGAATGTCACACAAGCTAACCTCCAATCAAAGAACGCAAATTCCCAGTAAACTGCTGTACAATTGGCATTCGCACTATTGGATATTGGCAGAATCTAGCTTCTATTCTAAG